AAGAGCTGTTTTTCTAACTTTTGCTCACATCGTCCAAGATAGTGCATTACAGTTGGAGCATCTGGTACGCGTACAGTATGTGTGTGCACCTACCATCAAAATGTTAAGTTAATGATTAGTGCAGTTAAATTATCAAAGGATTATCACGAGCGTATTGATATGCTTGTTTGTAGTAGGGCAAACAAGACTTGCATGATAGATTGTTGCCCTTTGTGCCCAGAAGATTCTACATTGGTATATTATCTTGAAAATGAGTTGTACTCTCAAGACGATATTGATGAAGATGATGATTATTGTATAGATTACAAACAATGGAAAACAACAGACCGATCTGAACTATTAAGTCTAACAGAAATGACAAGTAGCTTTATTAATACTTTGAAAAATAAGTTACAAAAACTTACTGTTCATTCTTACATTGCAAAAAGTCAAGCTGCTTCTTTAAGAAAGTTAAAAAATGAGTTAAGTAGTACTGAGGTCATAATCCTTTGTGATTTCTCAGAAAATTATGAGTTTGTTGTACAAGACGAAATACATAGTTTTCATTGGAACAAAATTCAAGCCACATTGCATCCAACAGTAATTTATTATAAAGAAAATAATGTCCTCAAATGTGATTCAATATGTTTCATCTCAGATGATTTACTGTATGATGTTGATATGGTTTATCATGTGATGAAGCTAACAATTGAACATATTAAAAGCAATATTTCTCATCAAATAGAAAGTGTCCATTACTTTTCAGATGGGTGTGCTGGCCAGTACAAGAACTACAAACACTTCGCAAATATATGCCACCATGAACAAGATTTTGCTATGAAATGTACCTGGTCTTTCTTTGCAACAAGTCACGGTAAATCACCCTGTGATGGTATTGGTGGGACTGTAAAAAGACTGACTTCAATTGCTAGCCTTCATCGAACAACAACAAATCATATTCTTACAGCGTCTGCAATGTTTAATTTTTGCCAAAATGAAATCATAGGAATTAATTTTTATTACATATCCAAGGAGTCAAACACGATAATTCGAAGTGAAATGGAGAAAAGATATACAACTGCAAAAACGTTACCAGGCACTCGTAGCTACCACAATTTTGTTCCAATAAGTAACACAAAAATTGGAACTAAAACTGTTTCTGAACAATTGGAGTATTCATTTGTTTTTAATTTTCAAACTGATAAGAATATTAAAGAATTCTTGTCTAATATAAGCATTGGTGTGTTTGTATGTTTGATATATGATAGCAATCCATGGATCAGACTAGTTGAGGAAATTGATGTTGAAAATAAAGACTTTCAAGTTAGTTTCATGCATCCATGTTACCCTTCAATGTTGGCCTCCTAGAGATGATGTTTGCTGGGTTCCATCAACAAACTTATTGCTAACGATTAATATTCCAACAACTGTTACAGGAAGACAATACAAAATCAGTGAAATTGATCACCAGCATTGAAGATAGCTGGGCAAACTTCAAACCAGAGAACTAATTTGTTATCTGTCAAAGATTTTTATTTCTTATTTTTTTTTAAATGTCAAAGATTTTTAATTCTTATTACCTTTTAGTTTTAATTTTTCTTATTGTAATTTAATTATTTCCATGGTTTTAATATTTTTTTGATTTAATATTGTAAGACTTTAAATGCAAATAAATTTGATTTAAAAAAGAAAACCCTTCCAGATTTTTTGTATTATAGAGTTTGTTACATATAGAACATTAGGAAAAAATTTCAGAATCATATCATTTAGGCATCTTGAGATAAACTTTTTTTTGTACGGGGCATCAAAAATCTTGCAAAAAGTGTTACACCATTTTGAAATTGAATATTTATATAGAAGCTTACATTTTTTAATGTTTTAGTCATGATTTTTGAGTTCCTCACCCTGAAAAGTAGTTAGGTAGAAATTTTCATCACTATTGAACAAGTATTTCATAAGTTAAAGCTAATTGTGAGGTGCAATAAGCTTAAAAAATAAATGGCGCTGAAAAAGAAAGTCAAAAAAGAGATTGGAACTGAGTATCAATATCTCTGAAATCGTAAGAAGTCTGATACTATAATTTGGAGTGAAGTTTTCTTTCATTAATTTAAACTTTTACTCCAAAAATCAGCAAAATCCAAGATGGTATGGATTATATATATATATATATATATATATATATATATATATATATATATATATATATATATATATATATATATATATATATATATATATATATATATATATAGTTGTAACCACTGCGGCCATAGCGAAATGGTTACAGTGCTTGCTTTATAGCAGGAGATCCAGGTTCGAAACGAGCTCTGGACATAATTTCGCGTCACGGTAAGGAAGACGGCATGAACTTCCTGGTTAAATGCACTTCTGCAGTGCAGTGACAAGACCGCTAGGTCTTCTTGGGGCACCTAAATAACAAAATATATATATATTTACCAGGCTTTGGAATCAGGCTCAGCATTCAGCAATGCTATCTTACTGAATACCTAAAAGTGTCAGAGTTAAACAACAACATTTTTATGTTATATTGAAATTTTTGTGTTGAGAATTTTGTCACGAATTTATTATCCGCATAAAAAACATTTAAAGATAAAACCAAATAATTTTTACAACTATTAGCTTCCTGCTATATGCAATTGTCAAGTAAAATATTAGGACTTTTTTCCATTAAAAAAAGTTATGTACAAAAGATACTATATTACAGGCTTGGTCGGGAAGTGGGAGCGATCGCTCTCGAATACTGACCACTGAAATTATATTTAGTTGCGAAAAACTGGCCAGGTTTTTTAGTCGTTTTGAGAACATTTAAGTTTATGTACGAAACAAAAAATTTTTGTTTTACCCACATACATGGAAACATAATAAACTTAAATGTTCTCAAAACATCTTTGTGCAAAAGAATAAAAAGAATATTCGCGAACACCAAATTAACGAAGAAACTAATTCTATTGGTTCAAAAAATACGCAGACTTAGCGAAATTAAGAAGAGTAATCTGTTGAAATGTTTTTAGAAACGATTTGTTACGTTTTGAGATTTCTAGCATTACTTGTTTTAAGAATAAATATATTATTTGTTTACAAAAATAAAAGTTTTAAATATATATTAAATTGTCAAAATGTTAAAAGTTTATTATAAATTATAGATTTTATTAGTATATTCTCATTTTTTATTTAAAAATTATGTATTCTTTATGTAAATTTAATTTTGTTTATCTGTTTTTTATCGTAATGTATCTATTAAAGCAATTTTTACGATTTAAACAAAGACTTACAAAAATAATTGCGTTTTCAATGAAGTTATAATCGTTATAGTTAATAAAACTAATTAAGTAACAAACATATAAGAAGTTTCTAGTTACTAAACACAAACAACGCGTACAAAGTAACTCGCAGATGAACAAGCACCGCGCCTGAGGTCACGACAGAACACAAATATATATAGCAAATAATTAGATATAAAGAAAAGTTACTAGATATTGGTTTACTAACTCTAATTATTTTCGCTAAAGTTGCCATTCTAAAAACTCGTTATACTTTTTTCTGCTTTAAATACTAATTAAAATTAAAAAGCCCACTCACTAAACATCACCAGGGATATTGTGAAGCAATTTCGCTTCCTCGTCATGAAGTATTTTTAACCTTAAGTTGATTTCTATATTGTTAATTTAATTTCTATAGTAATTCAATGATTTAATTATTTCATTTGTTTATCTTACTAAGAAGAAATGCTTCAAATATGTTAAACTTTTCAAACTACGCGAAACATAAAATAGGTATTGAAAAAATTAACTTTATTATTTATAAAATTGTTTAGCTAAAATTAAACTAAAGCTTGCATACTTTGTTAAATAAAGAATATTTGTTTCCTCTTTAAACAATCGTAATTTGTTACTTTATATAAAAAACATCGCTTAATTTTATAAAAAAATTTATAAAAGAGCGATATTTTGAAAATATTTGTTTTAAACGTAATTTATTTAGCTTTTTCGCGTTTAAAGATATTTTATTTACCTAATTTTTTTTTATTTTGTAATTGTCTCTCATCGGTCCAATTAATCTTGAGCGCTTTTTTTTTTTTTTTTTTTTGCTTTTTAAAATGTTCTCAAAGCGATTAAAAAATCTGGCCAGCTTTTCGGAACTAAATATTATTTACCAAGCCTGATATTACCTAAATGTATTGTAATGCATCCGCATTATTGTATTGTAATGCATCCACATTACAATACATTTAGGTAATTTAGTATAGTGGCTTGTTCTATTTAATTTAATCTTCAGCTTTGTGGTTACTTAATAGAAACTTATTTTTGTGACAGCAAAAAGTGAAAACAAGACATGGTGGACAATGTTAATTTAAACTTATTATTTCACTAAAACACTTTAAATTTATAAACAATATATTTGTGTTACAGTATTGGAATTGAATAACAAACTCATCTATGATTAAACCGGTGTCTAAATTATAACAAATGTTGTATAAAATATAAAAATGTTGTACAAAATATAAAAATATAAAATGTTGTATAAAATTATAACAAACGTTGTATAAAATAACAAATAGTGTATAAAATATAACATTAATAAAGTAATTACAAAAAATAAAGAATGATTAATTACGTAAAATAAAGAATGAAAACTTTTAATTCTTCAATTTTATGTATTTTTTTTATAAAGGCCAAGGTCAAAACAATCAAGGTCAAGGTCAAAGCCCTAATTTTTGGCCTTTAGGCAAGACCAAGGCGAAAGACTAACAACTCTGGTTATCATTTTGAATTCAATTATAAGTAAATTAGTTTGAACAATGTAAATAGTGGTTTGGTTGTTTTTACAACACCCAAAAGTAGAGAAACATACTCCCACACCCTAACCAGAAAAAGAGTGAAGAAAAAGTACTAGTACTATGGAAAATGTTATGTTTCTGAGACTCATTAAAAAAAAGTGAAAAAAAAAAAATGTTTCGAATAGAATTTCATTTTTAATGATTTTTGTTGAAAATAATTTACCTCTGTGTTTATGTGCTTTTTCTTTACGTCTTATATACGCAATTTTTGGAGATTTTGTACTAGGTTTTGCCTTCACAGTTTGGCAAAGTTCTTCATTTGAGCAGTGAACAGCAATACATGTTGAATCAATCATGAACGAAAGGTCACACTCTCTTGAAAAAAATAATTTAAAAATTGAACTCTTATATTAGCTCACAAGTAAGTGTAAAAATAATTAAGATAATAGTTAAAATAAAAAAAACTTACTATAACTATTTAAGTTTATGAAATTAAAATAATCTGCAAATACAAAAATGCATCAGCAGTTTTTTTGTATTTGCATAGATGTTTCTATTTTCAAAAAAATAATATTTTGCATAGTGATAAGATTATGAAACATTGAGCAAAAACATTTTTTCATAATTCCAGTTTTTATGATGAACTCAGGTATGCTGAAGATAACACTATAGATTGTTATTTTAATAATCAAAAATGATTAAATGAAAATAAGAAAAAAAAAGCATAAATTTAAAGATTTGAGATAAAACAGTTGCAACTTTTCTATTACCCTAAACAATGGCATGGAGACTTTTAGTCAAGAAGGGAGGTACTCATTTCTTGCAGTGTGCAAGCATTGTAATTTCTACTAATTATCTGCAAGATTGACCAAGTTAATCAAAATCATTAATTAACTACTTAAAACAACAATTTCGATTTATGCACAAGCTATCTGTTTATTCATTAAATAAATTGTTTATTAAATACAAAAAAAATTTAATTTTATACTTGTTACATTTTATTTTTTTATAACAGGACTTTTTTAAAAAACAAATTTTTTATTTAGGAAAACAATCAGTCAATCCAATCAAATTAAAAACACTGCATTTCAATAGGCGCTTTTTTTTATTTTTTTATTTTTTAATGCAATAACCATGCTTTCATAAAGTATAGCATTTTAATTTGAAATTTATTATAATTATTTATATATTATGTTTATTTTTAAAATGACTTTTTTAATCTTAGTTACAACAATTGTGCTTTTCTAAGTAAATCTGAAACTCAAACTTTGTCTTATTTTTCTATGTAGTTTACGCAAGTTTTTTTAAAAATTTTTCTAATCAATATCTAAAAAGAAAAAAAAGTAAAAAAAAGTAGTTTATATTTATGAAAAAGTTATATTTTTGCAAGAGCTGTAAATTGCTCCCATAAAGCACTTTAGGGGAGTGTGGGCAAGAGTTAAAGCTCTCTCTTCCTGCTGAGGCCTGCTGAACTATCCACCATGCTTGTAATCCTTCCAAGTAAATGAGAGCAAAAAAAAAGTAGGTAGTTATTAAGGAAAAGAATAGTTTTGAACTTATAAATGTAGGGGTTGGTATTTACTTTGATGGAGGATTTATTTAGCTAACAGCATGTACTAGATTTGTTTTTAATATTGATATCAATTGGTAAGGTTTTGAATGATCATTCTGTGTAGATGAGTTATTTATCATAAGTTATTCTATAAAAATAACTAGTTTAAATAAGTATAAAATGAACTTCTTTTAAGTTCTATTCCTTCAAGTTGTTTTATTTTAAGCTACTATATAGAAATAACTATTTTATATATATATATATATATATATATATATATATATATATATATATATATATATATATATATATATATATATATATATATATATACATATATATATATATATATACATATATATATATATATATATATATATATATATATATATATATATATATATATATATATATATATACATATACATATTATAAAGTAATCAAACAATTTAATTTGTGAACTGTGATCAGAAATCAGAAGGAATTATTGCAAATCTTATCTTGCATTATCTTAACTTGGACACACTGGTTGTAAAAATCCTTTTCTGACTGTCAAGGGCAAAAGTATGACAAGAAAAATATTAAGTGGAAAATATCAAGAACTTCAGCCTATAATATTAGAGGAAAACCATTTGATTATTTTTCTCACTATGTTCATGTCACAGTTTAAACTTGTGTGGCACAGATTTTTCTACTAAAGCCATTTAAACACCTTTGTTTGTAACTTGCTCCACATACAAAAAAGTGTTGGTTAGAAACTAATTTTGGATTAATGTGTAAAATTTTAATGTATGCACAAACTAAATTTTACTTGAGGATGATGATAGAGAATTAACTAATGTCGAGGATGATGATAGAGGATTAACTAATGTTGAGGATGATGATAGAGGATTAACTAATGTTGAGGATGATGATAGAGGACTAACTAAAGTAAACATGAGTTTTTAATTCTAGGAAATTTTTTAATTGTACTTGCTTTTTACCTTTATATTTTAACCAATATATTTTGACAAATATACTGGTTTTATTAATTGATATTTTAGAAAAGCATTGATTTTGAGTTTCTATGTTTTAAAAAAAGTATTAAATAAAAAATTTATAAAACTTGATAAAAATTATGATAATTAAAAATAAAATGAAAATAAAAATTTAAAATACACATATTTATTTAGTTACTGACTTGATTTCACAACACAGCTCAATGCAAATTTCCATATTTTCAACTAAACCAAGGTCTGTGAACTGGCCACCTTTTGACCCACCTTTTAGCGTAACATTATACAATATCGGACTGTGAGTGCATAAAAGTTCTTCATAAAGATTAAGACTTTGCACTTCCACTAAAAATAAATATAATCAAAAAAATATAAAAAAAAAATTCATATAAATTTTTCAATAATCCATAAAATGTTAAAAACATAGTGTACACATGTACAGTGTATGAATTAAAAAAATTAAAACTTCAAAATAATATATCTTTATTTCTTTATTTAAAACAAAATAAATTTAAACTAATTAAAAAAAAAAATAATTTTAATTTTTTATCATTTTTAACTTTTTAAATTTTCTTATTTTTAATTTTATTCTTACTATTTTTATAGAAACTTCAATTGTTTTTGTAGTTATTATTTATTAATTTGATTAATGCCATTATTATTATTACTACTATTGTAGTTGTTATTAATACTACTATTTTTGATGCTACTTTTGCTCTGTTAACGAATAAAGTTATTATTGCTATTATTATTATTTTTTTCAAAATTAATATTAATAATACAATTATTTATTGCTATTTCTTCGAACATGTTTTTGAATGAGTGACACTTTTCTTGTCAATCTATTATTTATATCTATTCTTTATAATGACATTTAATTTTATTTTTTGTAATACTTTAGATATTTTTCTTCTTCTTCGACTCCTTAATATTATTATTTTATTGTAATAATATGATTGTAAATTTTGAGGAAAATAAACATCTTGTTGCTGTTGTTTATAAAAATTTGTGTTACCTTTGTTTACAGATATTTATACAGATTTTTTACAGATTGTAAATATCATATAAAATTTAAAATCGTACAAGTAAAATTAAGTATAAGCAAATAAGAGCATAAGGTAAAACCTTCTTCTTTTTTATTAATGTCTTCATCTTTTTGGAGACCTGGTAAGCTTGACCTTATTATATCTTCTTCTCCCGGCGCAGTAGCTCCAGGATCGGGAATAACGACTCTTCTCACTTTAACCAATTGCACATTAAAGTTTTCCGCGTTTGCCGGAGTGGTTGCGCAGTGTTGATCGCTAAAACATGAGACGGCATAACAATGATTCTCAGGCATAAATGCGACATCGCAATCAGTTTGTTTGCAGCAAAGCGCTTTACATTCGTGTATGTTTGTTGTATGACCAAGGTGTGTAAAAATACCGGCTTGTTTATTTCGAATAAAAGTGTGGTTTGCCAAAACATTCTCGTAAGTACATCGTCTTGGCTGACTACTTGAACTTATTTTATTTAAGTTCTCAACAGATGCTCCCATAAAATAAATATAATTTATCATCAAATAATAGAATTTAAAATTCACTCGTGTTAATCTAAATTTAAAGCATGTTTTACAATCAAAAAGTTTGTAAAAACTGTGTTTAATCATGTTAACTATAAGTCATGATTTTAAAGCACAATTGGTTTATTCGATGATTCCTGTGTAACTTTCCATGTTAAATAATACTTCATTAAAGTTTATATGGCGAGATTTGGTTATTCGAAATTTGTGTATCATGCGCACAGAGTGGTTTTATTAGTAAAAATTGTTCGTGGTGAACGGCCGGTTATGTTGATTGCCGCACTTTGTGTAAATGCTTCAGTAGATATAACATGCTTATGGCAGCTCGCTGGACGAGACTATGTATAAACTATTTTTGCAAAAAAAAAAAAAAAAAAAAAAAAATTTCTTCAAATTACTTCTACAAATACTTCAATAAACACTGTAAACTTTTAATATAAAAAGATCGTAAATTAATGTATATATAAAAAAGCAATTAAAAGTTGTAAATATCACGCAAAAGTTTCTATTTAAAATATTCGAAAAAAGGTTGTTTGATAACATAAAAGTATAACAGATAGTTAAATTTACTCGGGTAGTTTATCAATGTAAAGTGCGACTGTTAAACTAAGCCTTTATAAATGTGACAGACAAATAATTATGAAAACTTATGTACACTTTTCTTAATTACGCTGTGTTGTTTGATGGTGATTTTACGATGGTTATGGATTGATGACTGTTGTTAGATAGCTGCTGTTTGATAAGTGTTGCTTGGTGGGTTACTACTACCTTAAAGGCCAACTAAGAACTTAAACCATACCCTATAAACTTTAAAATCAGCCTATCTTTAGATTCCAAAACAATCAAAATTTAAATGAATTGTTCAAAATTTAAATTAATTGTTGTAATAAAAACTTAGCTGCAAAGCATGTGGTAACCAGTGGTAATAAAAAACTATTGCCAGTGTGTATGTTGGGTAAATAATTTGTGGATCAGATTATGCAAATATTTTTGATAAGAAATTTCTAGAAAACTAGAACATTTAGTCTTTATCACTAAAGTCTTGACGTTTTTTCAAAAAAGCAGTTTTCTAAAAATTTGGTAATTTTTTTGGAAGATGTGTGTGTGTGTGTGTGGGGGGGGGGGGGCAACTTTGGTCATTTACCTAGAGTGCCAGAAACCCACGGGCCGTCCCTTTTGCTTTTAGTTTTTTTTTAAAGGAATACACTATTAAATTAAATAAGATTTTTTATAATTTTATTTTATTTTTGGTTGTTGTATAAAATATTATTTTGCAATGTATACTTGTTTCTTTTTTACATGAATATAAATCTCCTAAAGTAACTGGAAACGAGTGAATTTTGCGTTTAAACATAAATCAAAGTTTTTTGAAATTATTAACCTCATAAAAAATGTTCATGTTAAATAAGAGAGCTTGGCATGAGTAAAACGATATTTTAAATTAATAAGACGTGCAACATCCTTCATCTGACAATGTAGAGGCTTCAACAACATATCCATAACTAATATTCTTCCATGAAAAGTTTTTATCTATACTAACACCTAAAATATTTGTTCACATGACTCTTATTATATGAATGTTATCAATGATAAGTACAGGTATTTAACACGATAGCTCATGTTTTTTTTGAAGCTGGATGAAAAAGAATCTATTTTTTTGTTTTTTGGTGTTTAGCGAAATTTCTTTTATTTAAACCAATAGGCAGCCGTATTCTCATCTCTCCGTTAAGCTTAACGGAGCTTTTGTCCGAAATTTCATTACAATATTTTTAAGTAAAAAAATGACGAAAACCTTATTTGAATTTTTTAAAATAAATCTAATACTAAAATAAAACATTTATTTTAAAAAAATTATATTTTTAAAGAACTTTTTTTGTTAATGAAAGAAAGAAAAAGCAAATGTAGAACTAGTAGATTGTTTTTTTTTTTTAATAATTCTTTTTTCTTTACGATATAACTAGTAATCATGATTATAATTCATTAGTTATTATTATTTTTTAGTCATTATATTATTTCTTGTTTTCTCACATTATATTATTTTTTTTATAGTTAATTGTATTAATTTTCAGTTCTCGTTTGATACCTAGTTATTTTATTTATTACACATATTTTTAATATTATATTTTTATAAACGTATTTATTATTCACTTGTTTTTATTTATTATTATTTTAGTATCTTTGTTAACAATATTATTATTGGTAGCAATTAACAGTAGTTATATTATTATTTGTATATATTATTAATATAGTATAGATATTATTATAGTATTATTAGTTTTTTTATACTTGATATCTTTAGTTGTCTTAGTTACTGTTAATATTAGTTCGTGGTTTGTCAAAGTTTTATTTATTTTTATTGTTTAATTTCATAACTGTTCTTAGTGTTACTCATTTTTTCTATTATTTCTTTATACTTTGAAAATTATTTTCGATTATTCGCGGCAACGGTTACCCAAGTTTTAAAACTAATAAATTTAGTCTTTTACTGTGCATTTTTTTTTTAATTTCTATTTAACACTTTAGTCACTTTAACTAGTTAATATTGCATATTCATATATATATTTTCTAAAGATTATGGCATTTAAATCTCTCTGCAACACTTGTCATGAAAATATAACTTTTTAATCAAAGAGCCATCCAATGTGATTTTTGTAACTCATGGGTCCATGCAAATTGTAATTTCAATGCACAATTTTATAACCTTCTTTCAAATGACTCATTTGTATTGCCATAGCTGTTTATCTAATAGTATGGCCTTTAGCTCGATTTCTAACTTAAAACTTAAGTCAACATTATTATGCAAAAATTTATCTACTAGTTCATTAAATTCATTTGTGACTCCAAGTAATCATAAAAATATCTTTAAAGATCTAAATAAATTTCCTAGTTCTGTTAATTACAAATACTATAACGTTATAGATCGCAATAAAACTATGCTTTCCAATTCGGAACTATATATTCATATTAACATTGCTTCTCTACCATACCACATTGACGAAATCTGTAGTCTTATCAGCTCTCTTAATAATTTTTCCTTTGCAATAGGTATAACAGAATCTAATTTATATATAAACGATACAAATATAACTGATATATACATAAACGGGTTTAATATTGAGAATTGTCCAACTGAGGCTAAAAAAGGTGGAGCGCTTTTGTACTTATGCCCAAATTTAAACTACGTCGTTTGCAATGATCTTATGATTTACTCTTCAAAATATTTAGAGTCTATTTTTGTTGAAATTTTAAAACCCTGTAAATCAAATATAGTAATTTGCATTCCTGGCATACCCCACCACCCCAAAAAAGTAAAAACTTACAGACGATGCTTCAAAAAATTTAATAAAACTATATTTATTGAAGATATTTCTGATATTAACTGGGAACTCTTCATTAAAAAAGATGATGATGTTAATAAATCCATGAATTTTATTTTAAAAACATTTGATGAAATCTTACACCGACATAATAGCATGCATAGATTTTTCCTCAAACTAGTCTCACACATTATTTTTAAGCCTCTCTGTACTGTTATAAATAACTAATTTAAAAGTGGTATTTTCCCAGATATTTTTAAAGTTGCCAAAATTATTCCAATATTTAAAAAAGGCTCTCTTCTAGATTTCACCAACTTCCGACCCATCTCTCTGCTTTCTAATATAGGTAAACTCTTTGAAAAGACAATGCATAATTGGCTATATGCTTTACTTAAAGATTTTAAATGCTTTTACACCCATCAGTATGGATTTCGTGCCAACCACTCCACAACTCGTGCTCTCATTGAAATGACTAAAATAATTAGAAAAGCACTTGATGATAAATATTTTGCATGTGGTGTATTTGTCAATTTACAGAAAGCGTTTGACACAGTGGATCATTCAGTTTTGTTGAAAAAATGAGAATATTATGGGATCAGAGGCGTTAAGGCGCTTAAATGGTTTACAAAATATTTAAACACAATTTGTTTCTATTACTCTAAAAACAGAACACAATTTGTTTCTATTACTCTAAATCTACCCTTGTAAAATGTTCTAATGGTGTTCCTCAGGGTTCAGTATAGGGACCACTTCTTTTTCTTCTTTATATTAATGATCTGCATACATCCATTAAGTTTGCTACTGTTTACCACTTTGCTGATGATACTAATCTAATGCTAATTAATAAATCCCTTAAAAAAATTAACAAACACATTAACCATGATCTTGCCAATCTAGTTCAATGGCTTCGCTCCAACAAACTTTTTCTAAATTCTAATAAAACTGAACTCATTATCTTTAAATCAAATAAAACAAAAATCTATAAACATATAAACTTTAGATTAAGTGGCAAAAAAATTGAACCTGTTGACTCAATTAAATATCTTGGCATAAAAATTGATTCAAGATTTTCTTTTTTATCCCACTGTAAAGACTTAGCAATGAAACTAAGTAGATCTAATGGCATGTTGACCAAAATTCGCCATCATGTTAATCTTGAGACACTTATGAACATATACCATGGTATTTTTGGTTTACATCTTAGATATGCATGTCAAGTATGGGGGCAGTTCTACCGACAAGTTTTTATTAGATTATTCAAAACAAGGCTTTAAAAGTTATTCATTTTCAGAATATTAAATTTAATCCTAATGTGCTCTACCTAACTTCTAAAGTACCAAAACTATGTGATCATGTTCACTTTTTAAACTGTCGATTTGTGTGGAACCACTAACACAATAACCTACCTTTAATTTCATTAATTTCTTTTTCAAAAGTGCCAACACTCGTTATGACCTTCGTTCCGAGAGTAATTGAAACCTGTCTGTCTCTTAACACCGCTCTCATAATTACTGGGATAAATCTATAAAATATCAAAGCACTAAAATTTGGAACAACCTTTCTTATGAACTAAAAGCTCTCAATTCATTCTCAACCTTTAAAACCACTTTATTCTACTTTTAAATTGAAAAAATAAAGTTAATGTTTGTAATTTCTATAATCAATTTTTGTTGTCTTTAGTATTTTTTTTTTTTCAATTTCTATTTTTTATTTTTTATTTCTTATTGTTATTTTTATTAATATTTATTAATAATAACTACTTTTAACTTTTATTATTACTAATACTAATATTGTTGTTATTATTGTTATTATTATTGTTATTATTATTATTAAAATCGTTATTTATGTTATTTACGTTATTTTTATGTTATAAAGTTTATTATCGTTATTGTATATTGTAAAATT